AGTGTTGCATAACCATAACCACATCTATACCCATAACTTTTTCATCATCCCCAATGAAACCTCTGTACCAATTAAATAACAACTCCTTTCCTCCTTACCTCCAACCATGGAAACATCTACTCTCTGTTTCTTTTCTTTTTTTTTTTTTTAAGTTTTTATTTATTTGACAGAGAGACAGAGTGAGAGAGGGAACACAAGCAGGGGGAGTGGGAGAGGGAGAGGCAGACTTCCTGTCGAACAGGGAGTTCAATGTGGGGCTCGATCCCAGGATCCTGGGATCATGATCTGAGCAGAAGGCAGACGCTTAACGACAGCCACCCAGGCGCCCCTCTACTCTCTGTTTCTATGGGCTGGTCTATTCTATGTACTTCATATAATTAGAATCATACAATATTTGTTCTGTGTCTGGCTCATAATATTTTCATAGTCCATCCATGTTGTAGCATGTATCTGGATTCTGTTCCTTTCTAAGGCTGAGTAATACCCTATTACACATGTGTAGTGCATTCTGTTTACCCATTCATCTGTTGACAGACACTTGGGTTGTTTTCAACCTTTTGGCCAATATGAATAATTTTGGCATGAACCCCGGTGTACAAATATCTGTTCGAGTCCCTGCTTTCAATCCCCTTTTGGATATACATCTAGGAGTTGAAATACTGGGTCATATGGTAGTTCTATGTTTAAAAAGGTAGATCCTTTTTTTTTTTTTTTTCCCTAGTTCTAAATTTTGGAGCAAGACCAAGACTAATTTCTCTTTCTCTGAATATTCTTTAAGCATTTGAAAATAGCTATGATGTCCTTTCTAAGTCTTCTCTTGTCTAAGCTAAAAATTTCAAGTGATGTAATCTGTTTTTTTAGAACCCAAATGTAAGATCTTCTATCAACCCCACATTTCATGTCATTACTTTCATCACTTATTTTCATGCTATGGGGATATCCAAATAATTTGTTCTGGGATCCAGTGCATTAGACGCCTTTCCCAAGTTTATGTTTCCTACCTTTGAGATACACTGGGAAAGCATTTAAGAATTATAAAAGCAAATGTCATCTTTCTTTTCAACTTCATGAATAATCACAAAGTGGATGGTGAAGATAAAATTACTTAATCCATCTTTAAAATTTCTCAGTGGGACCCATTAGAAGTATTCAACTTTTATTTTGTATTTTTAGAAAAAAAGTGTTTTGTTGACATTGTATTAGTTGACTTGAATACCATGTCATAAGGTAGACCATCCTTGTACATAGTAGAAGTTCCATAAGACTTGTTGTAAGAACGAAGAATGGAAACATTGGCTTTTTGTCGTTGGCTGTTTTTACTGAGACCAGATCTCTCTTGTTTTAAAGGCACTTGTGATTATTGTGGGGGCTGTTTTTATGTCCAAAGCTGTGACATCTGTTATTTCCATTACTGGGATTCTGCTAAATGTTGATCTAATATATGTTTGTGTCTAGTTTATTATACTGGTTAAAGAAGAAAAAGTGATATTCTACATATGATCTGCTACATGTTTATAAGCTGCCTTGCTCTTAAAACTCAAATAAGAATATTTATGTAAGATATTTCTACCCCTAAAGCCCTAGTATGAAAATTCCTTTTCTTAAATATCCCCCTAGGTTCTTCTTCCACAACAGTTGTCTGGTTATTTTGGCATTTGCTCGGGTAACTCAAGAATCTTACAGAATGCCTGTGTGTTGGGTTGACCAAACAGTTTAGTTAGAGGGTAGAGCTCCTGATTGACCGTTTCTTCTACTGAAGAAGAAAATTTTCTTTGGGAAATTAAACTTATGTGAAAATTTGTTATTGATGTTTTGTTGCCCCAGGAAGGTTTCAAACTTGCTGAAGATGTTAGTCTGTACACTCTGGTCATCCCATGGTTGATCTCATTTCTGAAAGGGTCATATTCCAATTATGGTTTTTTTACTCTTTAAACTTAATTTTACATACTCAGAATATTTTTAAGCATTAACAGAATAACTGTTTTGAGAATAGGATGTGCCTTTAGTTTCTCAGGTGTCACAGTTTTCCAAAACCTCACACAGCCAATTGACAAATCAGTAATATCCCCACAATTTGCAAGTGGCATACAGTTGCAGAATTTTGACCAGCTTAAAAAAAAAAAAAGAAGAAGGAGCAATACATTAGAGGAGAAACATTTCAATTGTTCAGATAAATGTATGTTGATTGTGTCATTTCATCATACATTACCCATATTGATTTGGGATAAGAGTAGTCATACTGTGTTCATTTTTAGTAAAAGGATTATGAGGAAAGTGACTAAGAAAGTGACCTTCCCAACTTGCTAATAGATTTCAACTTTGATTTCCCATTTTCGATATCCCCTGAGAACTACATCACTCCTGGAATTTGAATCTAATCCTGAGCTTTCTCCACGTGACAGCCCAGCGGTTGCGCCTTTCTCCCCTTGCCCTGGCTTTCTCATCCCCGCGATCCCATGATTGCTACTATTTTCAACTCTAAAATAAGCTCGAGAAGAAACAACCTAAATATAATGAGAAGTGGTAGTGATTTTACTCATTTTCCTCATCAAAAACAGTTGGCAGCACTGTTGATCAATTTCCCATAGCTTGTTTGGCAAGCGATTGACTGCCTTTGCTAAATACTCTCCCTTAAATTATGGTTGCAATATTGTTCCCACCGAAAAACCTACAGTAACTTTTATTTTGTGCCTTTGCATGGGGTCTCCTTTTGCTCCCTCCACCCCTCCCACTCCAACAATTGAAAGTTGGCCAGCATCCCCATTAATCAAATGTTGGATAAAAGGTATTTGTTAAAAATAGTTTTGCTTTTTTGTGAAAATGGGAAAAATTTGAACAGATTAAGATTAAATAGCAGTGGAAGAGTCGGGTAGTTTGGTGAACAGAAAGCTGGAGTAGGGTTGATTTCCTGGCACTGCTTTCTTCGCAAAGAGAACAATTTTAATCAGTTACAAAAATATTTGTGATCCATATGTTCCTCTCTGCTCATTCCCATATGCCCATATTCCCTTTTATCTCGGTAGATGGTGACTTTATGATTCAGGCATGCAAGAATAATACCTCGCTGACTTTAGAGCTCAGTGCTATTTCAAAACGTGTCCTGGTAATTACGCACACACATGTATCCAGGCTGTTCACGCTTTGAGTTGGTTACGTGAATATCAGTTTGTTCTTCCTTTTTCTTCATGGAAAGAATTATATCTTGCATCCACCTACTGGGGCTGGAATAATGCATCTGAGGCTTAGATTTGAAAACAGCATTGCCATTCACCTGCTGGATTAAATGCCACTGTACAAATATGAGGATCAGAGAAGAGAAGACAAAAAGATTGAGGTGATCGTTGATAACTTCATTTTCTTTGGGAAAAGGAAAACAGAATCCAAAAAGCATGTGGTAATTCCATCTATCACTGGTGCCTATTCTGAGACATATTAGATAATGGGCTGGTTACTTAAATAGATCCTAATTTTAAGACATGTTGACTTCTATTTAATATCGAGTGTTAGTGATAGTAGCCATGGTGAAACTGGTCAAAATTGAAAAATTAAAATGACTGTTGATTAGCGATCCATTTTTGTCCTCAGTGCATGTTCACTTATCTCTCATAGCTATATAATGTCTAACAACCAAAGAAACATATTGTAAAGCCAAATTGGCCATTCTGATAACGCAAGAACAAGGCTAGAAATTATTGACTGTATTAGTGATCGCATTTTCAACAGTTGTTTCTCTCTTGCACAACAAATGGTGTTGTAATCCAATATGCTGTTAATATAGCCACAGCAAAATCCGGTGAGGAACCGGCTGTGCTCATTTAAACTTGGGAGGGGGGGCAGCAAGGGGGAGGCAGGGAGTGTTTTTCAACTACAGACAAAATAACTGAGATGCATTTAGTGTTTGCAAAGATGGGTGTGTGATGGAAGAGGTGTGCATGTTGTTGGATTTAGCAGGTGTGCCCCAGGGTTGCAGCAGAAGGAAGAGATACCGCTTGGTTTTGGCAAATATTATTAGGAATCCATCTCTGTGTTTGCATTCAAGCTGTCTTTGCCGCTGCTCCTGTAGGAGTTGTGAGAAAAAGAAAGTGCACATTATAGCGTGGATTGTTTTCAATGGGCTCAAAGTTTGCAAATCTGTTGAATCCCTCTGACAGTCTTTCTATGCTGTCAAGCAGAATGCCCAGCTGGTGGTGGCAATCCTGATGGGGAGGGAGGGGAATGGGGAGACTGTGTTCACTGCCCGACAACAATATTAGGAGTTCTTCTTTCCAAACTGTAAGCAGGGAGGAAAGAGCTCTCTCAGCCATGCCATTGTGAAAGTTTTCTTTTTTCTTTTTTTTTTCACTTTTATATATAATGCCCATTAAATCAAAATCTTGAAATACACTTTATTAGGATAACTTTCCTAAAGAAAGGAGTCTCAGAAATAACATTAAGTATATTATATTAACCTATAATTAAAACAAAAGCTTTGGTTAAAAAAGGAGGCAAGACTTTAGCTCGTAGGTGATCTGGATTCTCATTGAGGCAAACACATAGGCTTGTTTTTTTTTTTAATATAAAGTGCGAGATTTCACTAAAAAAGGTTAAAATTGAAGTGAGTAATCTTCGGTGCATAATGCAATTGTTAATTTTAGCTCCCTGCGTGGGTGCCGCTCTGACTTGAACAGCCGGGCTGTAGCCTTCATTAGAGAAGAAGCAGGCAGCCCAAGACAGGTGGGGCTGGATCAAGCTGTGAACGTGATTTGCTGGAAGCTGGTCATTAGTGTTAGAAATCTGGTCTTATTTATTTGGTCCTTCACCCTGCCATGACTATTGCAATTATTATTATTGACTTTTCATCTTTTTTCAGGTTGACGATGTGTCAAACTGTGTAAGGGAATCGCATGGAGATGGGCATTCCGAACTGTTAATGGGGACATGGGACTCCAGTTGTCTCTGATCACTTGTGTGGATTTTCCCGGTGTAGAACGACAGAAGCCGCTAGTAAGTCATCAAGACCTACGGCAGGAATTCGGCACGAAAGGTAAAGGCCTTGTTGTCCTGCTGTCATCTCATCTGTATTTTGTTATCATATAAATGTGCCTGTTGGCAGAGAAGAGGTCATTCAGTGTAACCAAAACAGACAGGATCTAGAGCAGGGACTCGATTGGCTTACAGTTTATAACATTAGAGCTCAATTTGTTCATTCCATTTTAAATCTAGTCACAATCTGCTTTTATATGGAAATGCTTTGAAGACAGAGTTAGGGCAACAGACGTCCGTCTCCTCCCCCCGCTACCCAATACCTTGAGAAACAAGCTGTTTGCTGTGGAGAAACAGAACTGTTGTTAACTACACACAGAACCCCGCCAGTGTCACTGAAATATGAGGAATCTATCTGAATACACTGGATGGGATATCCTCAAATCTCCCCAAACTTAAAAGCAGTGCACACCAATAACTTACAGACTCAAGCCACCATCCTTTAGAAAACTCTTCCTTTTACATTCCCATAATCCTTTGCCAAGTTAGCCTGCGTTTTTTAAAGATATCATTAGATACCATCTGTTCTGTCACGGTAGATCTTAGCAAATTTGCAACAGAAATCGCTGTGGTTTAGATTTTTTTCTCATGCTTCCCATATCCAGTTGGAAATAAAGTTACTGAATTAGTAAGTGGTAATTAAACACTCCCAAAGAAACCTATCCCTGATTTGTCCAATAATCATTACCATTGTAATGACTGGAAGGAGGACAGTTATTGTTTGGGAACTTCTGTGGAAGAACAGACTTTCTAGGTCACACTGTTTTTCTTTTTCTCTTTTTCCTTCCTTCCTTCCTTCCTTTCATATTTCTTTCCTTTCTCTCCTTCTTCTCACATCTTAAAAAAAAAAAAACTGAGGAGGAAGTAAATGCTAAATTATTCATGAACCTCATTTGACAGCATATCAGAAGGGGAAGTGTCAGGGGTTGTACGGAGGTTGGGAGAAAAAAAAAATAATAACAGGCTTTAACTTCGAAAAGCCATTTCCAGCATCTGGGTAGTAGTGTACTGTGGGTCTGGAGTAGCGGGGTTCAGTGGCTATAGCTTCATTAAAACTGCCTGCCAGAGACTGCCTTCCACGGGGTCTGTGTAACACTGGCAACTGCCAGGCACTCAGGAAAGCATTCTTGCTTTTAATAATGTAGCTGTCAATTTGAAGCCTGAAAATGTTGGCCCTGAAAGGTTTATTGCCAAATTTAGATCTTATATTTATATTGAATTATTAGCTCTTAAATTGATTTTTGCCCTTACTTGTAGAGTACACGGTATTCCTTATGCCTTAGGAAGGCATGTTGGTGGGTTGAAACTTGCAAATCATTTTTGAATCATCTCAGACATGCTGCAGAACACCAATACCCGCTCTTGCCTCAGCAGCTGAGGGTCATCTCTTCAAGAGATGGAGCAACACTCTCTTTTTCTTTTTCTTCTCCTTTGTCCTGGGGCATAGGGACGGGAAGATGTGTGGGAGTTCTGTGACTTGGTTTAAGATTTGTTGATCCATTTCGATGGCAAGGTGTATTCGCGATAGCGTGTGTGTATGGGTGCAGAGGGGCTGTGGATAGGGCTACTGAATCTGCCTCGCGTGTTTGCCCTGGGTACTGGATTTGATTTTGCTGTCTTATTCGCCTTTCCTGTAAAATTGGCAGAGATGCCAGAGTTGCTCATGTGAATTTGAATACAAAGGGAGGAATGAAATACCACAAGAATGATAGGAAGTGCTTCACCGTGCACTGACTTTAGGTTCTGACTTCTTAACCTCACAGGGCATCACACCTTGTTATTTTAACTTGTGTCTGGGAGAATGTCTGAGCCAGGAGACCTGAATCAGGCAGCGGTGGAGGAGGGCGGGACTGAGCAGGAGTCTGCCACCCCGGAGAACGGCATTGTGAAATCAGAGAGTCTGGATGAAGAGGAGAAACTGGAACTGCAGGTGAGCTTGGAAACCCTTTCTGTCTGCCCAGCTCGCACCACTGTGCTCAGTCCCTATCTTTCATAAGCAGAATACTTTGAAGGTTTGTTTTCTTTTTCTTTTTTTTCATTTAAGAGTTTGACTAGTAAATGAATAGGAAATCCATAAAGCTACTCCTCTCCTTTCCTAATTATTTATCACTTTTTTCTAACCAAAATGTGCTATAAAATGCCCTTTGAAATGAAATAAATAACCAGAGATCAGGTTTAATGACTGAATTTGTGCACAGCATCTCCAGAGTGATTTCCAGGCCACCTCAAGGAGCTTGTGAAGAGTTTCTCCCTGAGGCAGCTTTAGGCTAGCTGAGTTTTAAAAATGGATTTGCTATTCCAGGGAAAGCTGAAGACCCAGCTCATGATAGACAAAGAAAAATCAAAGACCTGAGCTCTGTGGACCTCTGAGGGCAGGGAAAGTTTCAATTCATATTAGCAAACAAACCTAAGCCCTAGAATTCACAGCCAGAGAGAGAGGAAGTGAGACAGAGACAGAGAAGACCCTAGAAAAGGGTGGGTGGGGGGTATTGGGGGTGATTGACTGTACTGAAAAGGTGATATGATTAAATACACCATGATTTATGAGAGCAAGAGGTTTGGTAGAGGGAAAACAAACTGTACTTGCAAATAGCCTGTATTGATTTTTCTTTGAACCAAACTACAAAAGTGTTAGCTCTTTTTATATACCAGTGAACAAAGGCAGATAACCACATAATGGCCAAAAGCCTTCAAGGTCAGCTTCCCTGACGCCCCTCCCCCCATAGCTGCTATAAGGAGAAGGAGATAAAAGTTAAAAAGGTCAAAAGTTTGGGGGAGAGAGGGAAGGGGAACCCTCCCCCAATGGTTATAATATCTTACTGTTACTATTGATTTCTGGACTCTAGTGACAACTCCTCTCTCTCTCTTTCTCTCTCTCTCCCCCTCTCTCTCCTGTGTTGGTTTACTGTCTGTTTGTTTGTTTTACTTTGTTTCTAATATACAGAGGCGGCTGGCAGCTCAGAATCAAGAAAGAAGAAAATCCAAGGTAGGGTTCTGGAGATTCCCCATTGATCTGATATGATGGACGTCAGTTGCATATTTCGCATTGGGGTTAAAAATGTTTGCCACGCTTTCAAATGATCGTGTGTGGATCTTGGCTCTACTAGCCCTGTCCCCTTTTAATGGGGTTTTGTTGGCACTTTTTGTCTTTCTTTCTAGCTCTGTATGTTTTTCAATTAGAGCATTTAGGGTTCACATAGCCGCAAATGTGTGTACCTGATCTTGTTTTCACAGCAATTAGATTTGACAGCACTTTACAAAATGAGTAGCTGCTTGTTTTGCTTTCATTTAAATAAAATCTGGGGTAGATGTTTTAGTCTCGCTAGTTGATTTCTCCCTTTAAGTAAGCAGGTGCTGGTGTTTAGGTCCCTTTCCTCATCTTCTTAAACATCTTTTCAATCTGATCTCTTCCTAACTCAGTTTTAGTAGAAATTAATTTCCATCATCTTTTTCTCCTTATATTTTCACAAAGTGGCAGCAATTCATTTTTTTGTTTTTTCCGATGTGGTGGGCACAGTTTTCTAAAAGTGCCCCTTAAATCCATGTATTCACGTTCTCCTCCCCTTGCATCCCCACCAACACAGGGCTCTGAATCTTTTTTTTTTTTTTTTAAGATTTTATTCATTTATTTGACACAGAGAGAGATAGATAGCAAGAGCAGGAACACAAGCAGGGGCAGAAGGGGAAGGAGAAGCAGGCTCCCCACCGAGCAGGGAGCCCAATTTGGGGCTCGATCCCAGGACCCTGGGGCCATGACCTAAGCTGAAGGCAGAGGCTCAACAACTGAGCCACCCAGGCACCCCAGGGCTCTGAATCTTGAAGCCAGTGTAGACAGACAGCACTGAGCAGCCAATCTGAAGCTCGGTTTTAGAAATCTGGTTTTGGAATGTCCTGGGAAGGTAGAGAGGAGTTGACAGCCAGAGAATGTTTTCTGTTTGTTGTCTTTATTTTCCTTGCCTTGCCTTTTTTTTTCCCCTCCCCAGTCAGGAGCAGGAAAAGGTAAACTGACTCGCAGTCTTGCTGTCTGTGAAGAATCCTCAGCCAGGCCAGGAGGTGAAAGTCTTCAGGATCAGGTATACCCCCTGTCATTTTCATTAACTGCATGGATGGGATCTGTCTTTGTGTGCATGAGTAGAAATCTGGTATTACACAGTGTTTTTGGGGGAGAAAAAAAATAAGCAAAGAAAGACGTAGTTTCTGGCTTCATCCCCTACTTATGAGACATTTTAAACTAGCTTAACAGTTTGTCACAGAGTATTACGTTTGTTTTTTTCCAGACTCTCTGAAAACTGCAAATGGAAAGGAATTCAAAAGAATTTAGATAAAAAACTTAAAAAGTAAGCACGGTAGTGCTGCATTTCCTCACAGGCTCTCTCTTGATAAGACTGAACCAAATATAGTCCTAAGTATCCTGTCTCCTTCCTTATTGGAGATTCTTACCTCTCACTTCCCCAAAATACACTTGCCTATAAGAAACACAACTCTTGGCTCTTAACGAAACTTTGGAAATAGTGAATAAGGTGCATTGAGCTTTGCAGACGTATTTTTATGGCCTTTGGTAGAGATGCTGAATACTGAAAAAAATTGTCCAGAAATGAATCTGAGGTGATGGTGAATTTCATATTATTAAATTTATATGAATTTAATACTATTATATATCGCTGTGGATCTTTCCACTTATCTTTGCTCCTTACAAGAAGACTATTAGGGTCTGAAAATTCGAATTCTGACAAAACCCTCCCGTGACCAAATGGGGACTTCATATCGTATTTATTTTTGTTTGCCTTTTAGGCATCATATTAGCTTTTATAAAAATAGTTTAGCAGCTGAAATTTTCCTTATTTTATCAGAGGCTGAGAGAAGTCAAGACAAAAGCAAAATGATTTATCTGAGCCCAGGGGAGAGAAAATTGATTAAGATATCATTATTTTTGTTTGGGCTTGTTTGCTTTCCTCTTTTTACTTTAATTGAAATACTCTAAATTCTCCTCATGGATACAGAGAGCATTAAGAGCACTTTCTTTAAAAGGACCAAAAATAAATACCTTATAGATTTTGTCCTAAGAGTATTTTTTTTTTCGCTAGCCTCATTTTCTTATCGTGCCACTCATGTCGTAAGGCATGGACAGGCTATCTTTCTCTAGCCATCACTATGTTTCATACACAAGCTTTATTTTACTTGGGCTCTGAGAAATGTGTGGCTTTTCTTCAGCATTTTACTTGTGCTTCTATTTTTAATGGAGACTGAAAAGGGGGACTAATGCAACTATCACGGCTTGTATTATTAAATGTTGATTGATGGCTTATAATGTACTGCACACGATATATGTTAACTCCGCGGAATGACAGACTCTGGGACAAGTCATACCCCAGTTGTCCCCCACTCCTAATACCAGGCAGAGGGGGACAGCCTTTATAGACTGAATCTGCTTTTCATCCCATTTGACAAGGTACCAGGAGGAAATTTTTTAAGAGATCATCTGTATCATAGTGCCCGTCCTGGACCTAAGTCTAGTTTCTCCATACAATTGTGCAGAGAAATAAGATGCAATCGGTGCTTTGTTCCTGCTGGTTTCAAGCTCAGTGACCAAGACTAGCCGTGTAAGAGAGAATTAGAACTTGTACACCTCTCTTTGGGCTGGCTGAGGGGTGGTGGGAGCAGGCGGCCAATAAAAAATACCCAGACACACATATTAGCAAGTGGGCATGTGACTTGTTAGAGAATAAAGAAGCAGACCTTTGAGCTTATATGCAATGCCTTCATTAGGTACCACCGGCACTTACAAAATGTGGGAACTGAATCCCAGAGAACCCTGGCAGAAATATACAGTATATGGATTGTATTGCTTCCCTAATATTTGTATATTCACAGTATTTGAAAACTGCCTTCATTTTCCTGTGTGGGAAAAACTCTTGCTACCTGTATTACTTGATCTCAGACCCATAGCTGCTGGTTCAGTCTGTCCTTCAGTTAAAGGAGTTTTGCTTTCCTAATGTTATACTATTTACCTATCAGTGTATTACTGTGACTTGAATCATTCTTTTATTGTTGTTGGATATAAACTTATCCTGTACCAATGTATTTATTAACACTTGTATTTTATTATTGAGCATATCAATAAAAATATTAAAAAATAACAGATTGTTTTTTACCAACTCTATAGCACTTTTGTGTGTTCTTTCAACACCATAATGTATATTTATGTATAGAAAAGATAGGTATTTTTCTGAGAATACTATCTGTCCACACATGGCGTGAGTTTGTACTTTTTTTTTTTTTTCTGGTGGAAGATGTCTTTTAGCCTCTGCTCTTGTATTTATGCTTCCAGGCCTCTTAGATTGTAGATTCAAACTGACAGAGGCTGGGTGATGCAAGAGGTTTTGAAGAAGCAATGAGACCACTCCAATGGCTTGGTGCCTTCAGTTTCCCCGCCTGATCAACTATTGAATTGATTCTTCCCCACCCCCAACTGTATTCTCTGAACCAGAAATGTTGCAGCTGTCTCCTTAGCAAGCAGAAGCAAATCAAAACCTTAAAGTCTGCCCAAACCTTTGCAGACTAAAGGCATTTCTGTCCCAAAGCACATGACAATAGAACCTATAATCAAGTTACACTCAGTTTTACATGTTTTGCATAAGTCTATCCCCAGGATAAACACGTGGATGTCAGGAAATCTGGCTAGGATAAATATCTATCATGAGAACATGTTTTATTTTATCCTCTCTATCATATGTCTTTTCAGCCCTGGTGCCTTTTTATTCCAGCCAGGAGTTCACAGTGGAGCCCCTCCTAAAAAGCAAACTTGATTTCGGGGGTCTTGTTTTATGCTTGTTAGATTAGCCAAGTTTACCAAGAACCCTAGGAATCCTAGGATGGCCATAATTTGAGGAGGTTCAGGCATTGCTTTAGTCACATGTATAGGAACATTTGTTTAGTTTTTAGTGAGAAACACTATTAGTCATTGGGAATTTTTTTTTTTTTTTACATCATGAATTTTAATGTCACTAGTAGAAAAAAGCTTTCCCATCAAATGATCTCTTACATAAGAGAAAGCAGACTTAATGTTGGTTAATTTGTCATAGTTTTAATCATAGCATAGGTTTTTCATAAAACTTCTTAAAAAATATGATTTGGCTCATTCTTCTTCAAAACAGTGAACATACTATCAACCACATGGCTGATATGTGAGTTAAAACAATCTGTCTCCAGTGCAAAATAAATAAATATAAAAACGGATTCAGTCCCAATACAGTAAATGGTCAGTACTGTACCAAAGCATCAGTTCAAGAGAATTTTACATTTTGGAAAGAATTGACTGATAAAAATTAAAATAATATTAAATATTTATATTTAATTGATGGGAAATATAGTTCTGTTTTCTAAAAGGCGATGCCAATTCTAACCATACATTATGATGACTTATTAATGGAGTTTATAAACAAGGTGTGATAATCATCCATACCCGGGATTCCTGCATTTAGATAGCTTGGTTTTTCTTAATAGTAGAAATCATTGTTGATGTGGTTCTAAAACAGACTTTTTATTGTAAATTGGCTATTAAGGCCTTTATGTCTGTTCTATCTGTAATTACGATTCGTAATACCTGTCTGTCTATGTTTGTGCAGATTTCTCCTTATAAGGAATTATAGAAAAGAACTCAGAAAGCTTTTTTTTTTTCTTTTTTTGAGACATGGCAGTGGCTGTGACGCAAGCTTACTGATAAGGAAATGTTTCCTAAGTGTTTAAAAATAAACCTGTAGAGAAAATAAGAGGTATGATCTAGGGGAAAGTAACTTGCTTAATGTTAATATTCATGAGGCCAAGTGTTAGTACTAGCTGTTTCTCATGACCTCCCATTGACTTCTGAAGTTTAATTCACCTTAAAGGGCAATTATTTCTCTGACAGGTTTAATTTTTTTTTTTTTTTTTACCATTTAAGAAAAAAAAAATCTGCTCCTGGCTTTCATTTTCCTGTACTTAATAACCTCTATGCAAAATGGAAACCAGACAGAGATTCTTAAATCTGGCCCTAAATTATTATATTTTTTCCCCAACAGGAATCAATTCATTTACAGCTTTCCAGTTTTCCCAGCCTGCAAGAGGATGATAAATCTAGGAAAGATGACTCAGAAAGAGAAAAAGAAAAGGATAAAAACAAAGATAAAACCTCTGAAAAACCCAAGATCAGAATGTTATCAAAAGGTGAATGTGAACATGTTTCCTTAACTTACTGAATTTGGACAGATAAATAGTCACAGAGTACATCCTAGATTTACACACGTATTCACCTGCCACCAACCTCTGCATATACTTCTATATGTGTACGTGTGTGTGTGTGTAAAAGATGTGAACTCTATTTCCTTTCTGTTCATGGTGTCATTATTTGTGTATCCAGAAAGGTTAATTTTAGGATCACTTATCTCTTTGGATTTCCATTCGGATCTTCTGTTTTCGATGATAAATTTGTACAAATGACTGAGTATAAATCTGCTCTTAATTCAGGTTTATGAATCCAATTAACTTGGGCTGATGAACAGTAATGATACCCAGTTTTATATCTTAACTTCCATGTTTATCTTAAAAGACAGACAGTAGATTAGCAATTCACAGCCGGTAAGTGATATCGTCCCCAAAGCACAGACGTATATACATCAATGTCAGTGGACTACGTGATTAACATTGTATCTGCCACAAATGGATTTGGTCTCTGCAGCCCACATAACTGCCACATCATGTCTCACCTAAAAAAATATACATTTCTACTCCAATAGTAAAAAAAAAAAAAAGCTATACCTTCTAAAACCCCAAGCCCATAGTCCAGACTTTTCAAATTATGGCCATACATACAACTGTACAAAAATAAAAACAAAAAAAGGAAACAAAAGTTAAAATAAAACTAAGTTAAGTTGAAACGAAGAATACCGTGAATAAATAGCTTTGCAGTAGACATTTTTTTTCTTAAATAACCGAGAAAGAACAGGGCATCCAATCAGCTGAGGAATGATGACTGCTTATATTATGCCCTGTAACCATGTATCTGCTTATAATGATTATCTCTGCTACTGAATGTCTAAAACCCAAGGTGTGACAGGAGTAAAGAAGTGCAGGTTCCTAAGATGACTTTAGGAATTAAGCTTTAGCCAGCATCAGAAGATTTGAAAGACTTGGGAATGTTTAGTGCCCTCCTGTGTTTTGTACTGATGAATATTTAGATGGTCTCATCACAGAACTTTAATTCTTTGCCTTCTCTGTTTGAAAAGAAAAAGGGTTCCCTGGCATCTGAAACTCTTGAGAACTCTTTCTGTGGGTTGGTAGTACCTGTCACGTGGAGGCCCTGGCCTTGCTGATTGACGGCAAGACTCGAACACGTGGCATTTCACCCCACCCACCTCCTACCCGACTGTGCCCGCATCCCCTCCTGTGACAGCCGGATCTTTCCACACTCAGGATCTACTGGGTTCCTCCATCTCAAATCTGGTTTTCATTCTGGTGTTACACTGCCAAGTTGCCAGTTTCGAAACATGTACCTTCACGCCAATAGCTTCACCTAAAATTTACCCAGCAGGAGGGAAACCTTTTTCACCCTCCCTTCTCCATCAGCATTCCTGACAATTCCCTCCTGCTATTTGTTTCAGATTGCAGCCAAGAATACACGGATTCTACTGGCATAGACTTACATGAGTTTCTGATTAACACATTAAAGAATAATTCCAGGTAAATTATTAAATAAACCTCTTATTTTTTAAAAGAGTAAAGTAGAATATTGTGAAGCCACGAGTCCAAGCATTTCTAAGTACAGAGTTGTAAAATGCAGGCACCCTTTCTAATGTCCTAAACTATCTCTCATATTTTCTCGTTTCTGTTTGCATGTTTACTATGTATAGGTAGTCTTAATTCCTGGGTAGTTACCCAATGAATAAATTATAGTTTACAAGTTCTGCTTTCCTGGTCACAAAGAGATACTGATTAACGGGAAAAGATAGAGAATGAAAGTCAATGTTAAATAAACCGATTATGCTCTACTGCAGTTCTATAACTATTTACTTGGGCTTTGCTTTGCTCCAGTTTCCTATTAATTTAAAATATACAATGTATTTGATGTGTCTTATAGGCTTAATACCTTACATGTCTCAATTAACGTTAAAACTGCAGAAGTTTCAATATTACAAAATACTTAACAAATGAGATGAGAAATATCTTCAGTAGAATGAAACCACATGCATATGGACAGGATATTCTAGGGAAGAGTTAGGTAAAGAGTTATAGTCATATCAACTTAACCAATTTTTCAGACATGCAAATGAACTTTTTAGGTCTTTGGGAATGGCAAGTGCCTCAAACCTTTTCATTTTAACATTTATTTTGCAGGGACAGGATGATACTCTTGAAAATGGAGCAAGAAATTATTGATTTCATTGGTGACAACAAGTATGTTATATTGCAGTGCTGATTAATTTATATGATGTGCTTAGTTTGGTATTTGGGTTTAATTATTCATTCTGAAAAGATTTAGGGATAAATAAAACATTATTTAATATGTTTGCCGATTTGTTAAATGGAGATGCTATTAGGATTAGAAGCTATATATAGATGGGAATTGTTGCTTGGACCATGTGTGCTCCTGCTTGTTAAATTCCTGACAAAATGGCTATAAACAGGGGGCGGCTGATTAGCATAGAGTAGCGGTGACAAGAAGCAACCCTTTTCATTTTTATTATAGTTTTTTAATGGGCTCCAGCTGGCTGCAGTCGGTTATGCCTGGTCATAATTGTGCTACTTTCAGTGTAAACCGTGTAATGACACATCTCCAGACAGGCATCTGCAGTCACATACTATGTCATATCATTTGTCCCGAGCCTGGCTCCATTCATGAGGTATCATGGACCAAAATAGAATACTTTCCAAAAGACATTAAGTTCTCTTTGTTGCAAGAAATGTGCAACTATGAAACAAAGATACTTAGTGTAGCTTAATCAATAAATCCATAATAAGTGGAAAATTGTCTGGAAATGAGGACATGAAGTGTGATGCCAGAGATGAAATAAGCTGTGTGCTTTGAATGAAAAATGAATGGTTTTGTGTGTGTACCTATAGAATGTCCTATGGGCCAGAAACACAAATGCTGATTCCACTGTTTCTTGCATTCCTTTCCAGCAATCATTATAAAAAGTTCCCTCAGATGTCATCCTATCAGAGGATGCTTGTCCATCGGGTGGCAGCTTACTTTGGGTTGGATCACAATGTGGATCAAACAGGGAAATCTGTTATCATCAACAAGACCAGCAACACAAGAATGTAAGCCCATCACTGTATTTATTTAGCATTTTCTTTTTCTCTTATGGATTCATTTATAAGAGCATGGTATAAAATTCAAAGTACATGACATTTAAAATGTGCAGTGTTATTTATCTCTTGCACTTAGCAGCGGTGTGTGGCATTTATCTGCAGAAGATTATCTGAGGACTGGGAAAGTTTATAAAATCTGGGCAATAAAGTGGGTTTATTCCCAGATTTTTTACATAGCTCCTAAGACATAATTGTCTCTCTTCCATCAATACTCCATGTGATTACAGAAAAAAGCATGGGACATTTTATGTCAAAGTATAACTCAAATTCAAAAACAGACATTTTAAAACAGCAATGACATATACAGGATAATTGTCCTTTTCTTTCCTTTTCTGGTTTGTAGACCTCTATCTTATTATGGTTTCTAGAGTAACAAAAAGCTCTGCACCCAGAGAGGGAAATCCTGAACCTTAAGTCCCATTTTTTTACTTACTAGCTGTGTGACTTGAAACAAGTAAGTTAAAATCTGCCATCTCATTTTTTTTTTCCACCTGTAAAAGGAGAATTGTCTAAGTTCTGGCTCTAAAAGGAAGGTGTTTTATTTGTTTTTGATCCTTAAAATAATTGTTTGCTTCTATCTTAATATCTTTTTATGTCCCGTTGAGTCACCAAAAGCATAGGATGAGTAGTCATGTGCTTTGGAAATTGGGACCTGGCTCTCTTAAAGGCATGTATGTTTTGAGCACAGCACAAAGCCACTTTTATAAGCAAATATATGTTAAACTGAAAAACTGTCCCTATGCAAAGCATTCTCTTAAAACATTTGTGCATTGTAATTTCTTTTTTCACAGTGTGCCTTGTCAATTGTGTGAATTGCATGGATTTTAGGAATGCTGTGCTAGTGAAGGGAGCGTTCATGTCTAGCAGAGCAGCGTGTTTCAAACACTCTATTTTCTGCTCACCCGAGGCTGGACAAGTAGGGCTAGAGATGAGGCTCTTTCTCTACTCAAGGCTCAGTCTGTGTTCAGCAGAACGAGAATGAAGGTCATAGTGGAGAGAAAACAAACTGAGAGATCTGGGACGGAGCTGGGCTATTATCTCAGGGACAACGAGCTCTTCGCTTCTCTGGGCTTCCAATTACTTATTTATCTGCAGGAGAGTTTGAAGTGGATGGTATTTAAGGGCCCTCGAAGCTTCAGAATTTTGGGGTCCTATGGTTGCATTCTACTGTGCTGGCAAAATACGTTTTAAAATTTATCAGCTTTCCACTTTATCTGATTGCTGGCACATGCACCTCCTATTTTCAACTGTCACGGGAATGAAAGGTCACTGTCCTTTAAACCTTTACATGTCCTCTCTCCATCAAGCATTCCTCATTGTTGCTGTTGTTGGTTTTCATTGTCCATTCTGGTTTCTCTTATGACCTTCAGATACTGTAAGTGCAGGGACACACTGATTGCACAATAGGCCAGCAATGGACAATTTTTTTTTTCATTGGTTTTTCTCCTCTTTTTCTCTTTAGGCCATAACAGACATGGAAAAGCCCATAGATCAAGCCTGTTGTTTGATACAGGCTCAACTAGCAGAGATAGTGTGTTGATTTTTAATTCACATTGATTTTGCAATCACATGGTCACGATATTAGCATACATGTTTGATACCTGTTTCTGGGTAGAATGGTTTTTGAGAAAATTAAGCGCCGTGTAAAGACTCTCAGTAAACTTTGAGTGATGGTCCTAAACTTGCAATGTCCAGGATGGTAGCTACTAGCTACATACAGCTATTTACATTTCAATTTAAATTAGTTAAATTTAAATAAGATTTAAGCTTCGAAATTCAGTTCCTTGGTCAGGCTAGCCACATTTCAAGTGCTCGTATGAGACAGAACATACATGGAATATTGCCATGATTTCAGAAAGTTCCGTTGAGCAGCTCTTGTCTGAACTTGTGTGATTCTTGCAAGTTTCCAAATACCACTGGAGGATATAATCTGTCCCTTTAAACTTTCATTTTCTGGCTAATAAGTATCATATTATCATGTTATTAGATTTCACTTCCAGGAGAACACTAGTTTGTTTGGTTGGGTTTTTTTTCCTCCCCCAAATAGACAATTTTGAATAGATGCCTCTGGTTTATGCCTTCCAGAAGAGCAAAAGAGGGCTCGTGCAGAGAACACTTCCAGTGTAGTTGCTACAATGGAAGGGCTTGGACTGGCTTAGTCTCTTCCGCCATGCCTGTCCTTGCACACACCCTCTAGCTCTGCTCCGTGAGTCAGGCTGTGCCTAGACAAAAAAAAGGCAAATGACTGTAGAGCATGGACTTTTAAGGCATTTCCTGAAGAGCTGAGCTTACTAATGTTCAACCCAGAGCTGTCAAGTCGTGCTGTTCTATTCCAGCCACCTTTCCAACCGTCCTCTATTTGAGTGGCTGTTGTCTGGGGAAGGGGGCGAGGGGGTGCTGGTATCTTTCAGGACAAGAGAAGGAGATGAATTAAATGTCATTTGTCAAATAGTAATAGTCACCCCCTCAGAATGAGAATCACTGTTGGCAAAGAATCAGCGTTAGCAAAGAAGCATTGTTGTTCTGTAGGAAGTTGTGTGTTTAAAAGTTTAAATGGAACATTCTGTTCGGAGCATTTTGTTTAAGTGTTGGGTGTCTTGATTTTCTTTGGTCCTCCAAAAACTTTAAGAGTTGCTCTCTCAAGGCAAATGGCATGTGATGGTTGTGGGGACCACAGTAAAAGATATATTATAATAGGTATATTATTGGATGGAAATGTTTCCATTTATATTAAGGAGGGAGGCAGAGGTGGAAATTCCTCAGATGACTCCTTGTGGGTTTTGTGTTTTGGGAATACCTTTGCAGGGGATACAGTTTGATGCTACTTTAGTGCAAATACATGAACGTGCATATTTTAAATGGCACCGTAGCTTGGGAGAAATGTTGAAAAGTGCGGATGGAGGACACAAAAATGAACTAAAGGGCTGACAGAGAGAAAGCACGTTTTAATATAATTTTTAATTTTTCTTCTTCAATGACACTGATCCTCTGACATGGATGCCTTTCAGCAACAAAATGGCTGGAATTTATTTCCCAGAATCCTTGCTTTTCTAGATTATAAGCAATTCAAGTAATTATACAATGTGGCTTGAGAATATTAAGTTTTGCCCAGAGAGACAATAGTTTCACATGAGGTTCAAAACATTTACTCATGACAGTACACTGTGAGGATTATATTTGTGTGTGTATGTACTTTACTTTCCTCTAGTATCTTCTCTAATATCCTGAGATAAAATATATCTGTCTTTCATGATGGAAAAATTTGTCTGAGGGCTGACTTTTCAGTTATTTAAGTGATATAAGAGCATTACCTACTTATTATTCATTGCATTGGATACTTTACCTCTTATTTCATGTATATTATTCCATTTACTCCTGAAAACATATTTACAGCCTAAGTAATTAGAGCCTTATTTTACAGAAGCAGAAAATGAGGGACACACTCAGGTTCAATTTTGGGCTTACAGAGAAGCAATGATTAGCATGGCTGGGATCCAAGTCTGTTTGTTAAATGCCAAGAACAATTTTCTTAAATAATCTAACTCTCTTAGAGCAAAAACACCCAGAACATCTTGAGCAAAATCCTCAACAAGATTCCCTGGATTGGTGGGGAATGCCACCTCTTTGAAATCTTTTGCTATCTGATAAGAAACAATGAATGGGCCCCAGGGGAAGGGGAGATATTTTTGAAGATGAACTCAGTGGTATCAGTAAATAACGTATAATTCCCACAATTTGATAGTTCTTCTTGCATCCTCTGTGTTTATCACTACTTCAAAATGTGATATTTGGTGATATCGCTTCAATTTCAACCTTGCTTTACTCTGCTTCCATCTTTTTCCCCCCAAAAATGAAAAAGCTACACTTAACAATACTATCAGTGTAGGAGGTAAACCTACCTATTGTATTATTATGAAATTACTACTACAGGCAACCTAATTGTCTAAATCCATGGTTTCATGCCAGAGCCACAAGAGCGTGGGGTGGGGTTGAAGGATACAGTAGTCCAGAGAGAGTAGGAAATGCCAGCCATGCTCATGTGGGAGACATTCCAAGAAAGTGCCTTCCTCTGAGCAAACCTGGGTACTTTAGAGAGTTGATAAGGAAGTCACCTGACCCTCCAGCACCGCAACCTTGTAGGTTCTCGGAGCTAGCCAGGGTAAGAACAGGTGAGTATGTGTCACCTGGAGCCTCCCAGCACACCTATTGGTTCACAAATTGGGTCTGAGTAGTTGGGGATGCCCCTCATTAAAATTCACTGCCTTTTGTTGAAATGATGAATGGCGTTTTTGAGCTGAGACTCACCCTGTTATATTCTATCATCTTTAGTTTATCCCTCTTTCCCCCGTACGTTGCCAGAAATATGTTTCACTCTGTAGCACTTTTAAGTTTTTTTCTGTTGGGATTCTTTGTTAACTGTCAGATTAGGTGGTAGCACCCAATGAGCCCCTTGGGAATCTAGGTAGGGGGTGTTAGGGTCTGTGTTATTTTGGTACTGCAAATGATATTTAAAATGTACTTACTCTCTATACTGTTGCTTTTTCTTTTCTTTCTTTTTTTTTTTAGGACTGAGGCTAAAAATATGAACATGATTTTATAAAAAATATTTAAATGCTACAAATATATGTGTCTATTTTTATATGAGAAACTTTGCCCTTCTCTTTGTCTGCCTTTCTGATCTCCACACTGTCTTTTGCTTACTTTTCTAGGTGTTTAGCACAAAGCAGCCCACTGTTCTTTTATTAGATGATTTTTTTTTTTTTTTTACCTCTGTCTGCCTTTCTCTATCTTAGAGAAAGGATATATGCTCAGGTTGTATCGTTTGGAGGCTTGAAACCATCTCTTTGCATTAATGTTTTCCAAAGGGCCAAGATCAGTCATAGGCAAAGAGAGTCCCATGTGTATCTGAACGTCTTTGCAAATGTCAGAGTAACTGTTTAACTAGTCCC